ACCCCCCCCCTTTTTTCCCGGGGACACACACACACAAACTCACTCTCCTGCTGGCAATAGCTCATCCAAACTGACCACTCTCCAAGTTTAAATCCAAGTTTAACCAGAACGTCTGGGGGGGGGGGGTAGGAAAAAACAAGGGGAAATAGGCTACCTTGCATAATGACTTAGCCACTCCCAGTCTCTATTTAAGCCTAAATTAATAGTATCCAATTTGCAAATGAATTCCAATTCAGCAGTTTCTCGCTGGAGTCTGGATTTGAAGTTTTTTTGTTTTAAGATAGCGACCTTCATGTCTGTGATTGCGTGACCAGAGAGATTGAAGTGTTCTCCAACTGGTTTATGAATGTTATAATTCTTGACATCTGATTTGTGTCCATTTATTCTTTTACGTAGAGACTGTCCAGTTTGACCAACGTAAATGGCAGAGGGGCATTGCTGGCACACGATGGCATATATCACATTGGTGGATGTGCAGGTGAACGAGCCTCTGATAGTGTGGCTGATGTTATTAGGCCCTGTGATGGTGTCCCCTGAATAGATATGTGGGCACAGTTGGCAACAGGCTTTGTTGCAAGGATAAGTTCCTGGGTTAGTGGTTCTGTTGTGTGGTATGTGGTTGTTGGTGAGTATTTGCTTCAGGTTGCCGGGCTGTCTGTAGGCAAGGACTGGCCTGTCTCCCAAGATTTGTGAGAGTGTTGGGTCATCCTTTAGGATAGGTTGTAGATCCTTAATAATGCATTGGAGGGGTTTTAGTTGGGGGCTGAAGGTGACGGCTAGTGGCGTTCTGTTATTTTCTTTGTTAGGCTTGTCCTGTAGTAGGTAACTTCTGGGAACTCTTCTGGCTCTATCAATCTGTTTCTTCACTTCTGCAGGTGGGTATTGTAGTTGTAAGAAAGCTTGACAGAGATCTTGTAGGTGTTTGTCTCTGTCTGAGGGGTTGGAGCAAATGCGGTTGTATCGCAGAGCTTGGCTGTAGACGATGGATCGTGTGGTGTGGTCAGGGTGAAAGCTGGAGGCATGTAGGTAGGAATAGCGGTCAGTAGGTTTCCGGTATAGGGTGGTGTTTATGTGACCATTGTTTATTAGCACTGTAGTGTCCAGGAAGTGGATCTCTTGTGTGGACTGGACCAGGCTGAGGTTGATGGTGGGATGGAAGTTGTTGAAATCATGGTGGAATTCCTCAAGGGCTTCTTTTCCATGGGTCCAGATGATGAAGATGTCATCAATATAGCGCAAGTAGAGTAGGGGCTTTAGGGGACGAGAGCTGAGGAAGCGTTGTTCTAAATCAGCCATAAAAACGTTGGCATACTGTGAGGCCATGCGGGTACAGGAGATGCAGTCTGACCAGGAAATTTAACTTATAGAGGATGGGGACAAGCAGCAATTCCAAGAATATTTTTGTTTTGGCAAAATATTTCTGTATTTGAATTTTTATTTAAGCATTGAAATTTCTGATAGAAAATTTTGACAATAACATTTTTTCCGTTTTCATCAACATTTTCAATAGAAAACCTATCATTTTCCAACCAGTTCTAGATAGTACCCACCATCTGCTTGGGAGCAGTTGTAGATGGTTAGTGCCTCCCCATATATCATTCCTCAGCCCCAGCTGCTCTGTTTGGAAACCTGGCAGAGTGGAGCTAGCCCTGGAAACAGGGGGGACTTGTATGGGAGGGTAAGTGTTACATGGGCACCTCAATCATCTTGTCTCAGAAAGCCCAATATCTTGTGTTCAATTTTGGTTACCGATGTATAGAAACGATGTAGAGAAACTGGAAAGGATCCAGAGGTGAGTGACAAAGATGAGCAAAGGGATGGAATGCAAGCCATATGAGCAAAGATTGAAGAAACTACATATGTTTAAGTTTGGAAAAGCAGAGATTAAGGGGGACATGATATTAGTCTTCAAATACTTGAAAGGCTGTCATAAAAAAGATGGAGAAAAGTTGTTCTCTCTTGCCGCAGAAGGCAGGACAAGAGGCAATGGGTTCAAATTACAGCATAGCAGATTTAGATTAAATCTCAGGAAAAACGTCCTAACTGTAATAACAGTAGGACAATGGAGCAGACTGCCTAGGGAAATCATGGAATCTCCTTCACTGGAGATTTTCAAAAGGAGGTTGGATAGCCATCTATTGTGGATGGTTTAGACCAGTGGTTCTCAACCTATTTATCACTGTGGGCCACATATGTGGCCCACAATGTGTTAACTGGGCCACAGTTTGAGAATCACAGCACGCCCCTCTGAACCTCCCTCCCCCACAGACCCCTATGCCCAGCACCACCTGCCCAAAGACCCCTCCACAGAGTGGGGCCAGAAGTGGAGCCCTGGGTGGGAGCTGGGTGGCAGGGACCCCAGATCCTGCTGTGCAGGGCAAGACAGCGGCCCCGACCCTGGACCCAGCCATGCAAGGCCAGGTGGCAGGGCAGTCGGATGGCAGTCTGGACCCCAACCCCGCGGGGCTGGCCGGCAGCCCTGATACCGACTTCAACCCGCAACCCCGTGCTGTGTTGTTGGTAGCTACCGGTGTGGTGCTCCACTCTTGTTCAATGATGATAACAGTCAGCTGCGTGCGTGTTCCCCCTGTGTGCTGCCCCACCTCTGCACAGATAGCTAACACAGCAGACTCCGAGAGAACTCCCCAAAACCACAGACTCTAGTAAGGCACAAAGGAGCTAGAATCAATTAAGGCAGGCTAATCAGGAAACTTGGGTTTTATAAAGGAGCTCACTTCAGTTTGTGGTGTGCGTGTGAGGAGCTGGAAACAAGAGGCACTAGGAGCTGAGAGTGAGAACACGGACTGTTGGAGGACTGAGGTGTACAAGCATTATCAGACACCAGGAGGAAGGTCCTATGGTGAGAATAAAGGTGTTGGGAGGAGGCCGTGGGGAAGTAGCCCAGGGGGTTGTAGCTGTCGCACAGCTGTTCCAGGAGACACTCTAGACAGCAGCATTCCATAGGGCCCTGGGCTGGAACCTGGAGCAGAGGGGCGGGCCCGGGTTCCCCCCAAATCCTCCCAACTCCTGGTCAGACACAGGAGGAGTTGACCTGGACTATGGGTTCAGAAAAACGGCCAAGCTGAGGGCTGCCATGAAGCTCCAAGGTGAGCAAATCCGCCAATAAGCGCAAGATCCACCAAGGTAGAGCAGGAACTTTGTCACACAGGTTTATTGTCAAATGAAGCACAGTAATAGTTCCCTATAGACTCTACGGGTCATACTACGAATTTGTGCTCCCTGGCAATGGACACAGCTCAGACAGCGGCGAGACACTCCACTGCCCCCTAGGCTGGTCAAATATATGCGCTCCGGGACCTACTTTTATACCGTTGCAGGACCGATTACTCATCATAGTTCAAACGAATCTATCCATCATGTTGTCCTTTTGATCCTGTCTTTAAGATGCACCTGCCTGTTCCTTGTTATGTCTACAGAGTGTCTTGCCACCGTCTTGGCATAAGTTTCTCTCATTAGCCCTTATGTGTGTGTGTGCACGTGCCTCTAATAACCTTTTCTTGCCAACTTCTGTGAGTGGGACCTGCTTCTGGCTCACAGCCCAGCTTTGCTTATCACTGCCTGGAGGTACTTTGGTTCAGGCTTTACTTTAGTTCAGGCTTCAGGCCTCAGACTGGGCCTCTGATACAAGAATTTATGTTTCAGGGCCTCCGTTTACTACATGGGGCAGCCCCTGGGCCCCAGATCCCCTAGGGCCGGCTGGCAGCTCCAGGCTCCAGAGACCGTGGGGCCGGCTGGCCGCTCCAGAGCCCAGACCCTGGACCTCAGACTCTGCGGGGCTGGCAGGCAGCCCCTGACCCTGAACTCTGCAGGGCCAGCCGGCAGCCCCAGACCCTGCCACGCTGGGCCAGGCAGCCTGGACGACGCTGCACTGGGTGGCCACGCATCTGGGAACCCAGACTCCCCCTGGCCTGGTGGCCTTTAGCACACAGCTGGCCCCAGCTGTGTGCTAATTAGGCTGCATGCAGCCCGCAGGCTGGGGGTTGAGAACTGCTGGTTTAGACATAACAAATCCTACATCTTGACAGGGGGTTAGACTAGATGACTCGTGCAAGCCTTTCTAATCCTATGGATCTAGGATCTGCATCTGTGAAACTTCAGTGGTGTGTGGAACAAATGTGGACACAGTGCCATGTATTCTGAGTTTGGTAGAATAATAGTGGGGAACAGAAAGTGTCTGCTGGCCACAGTGTGAGATTTTCCCGGGGAAGAGAATGGGACAGAGCCAGAGTAGTAAGCAAAAGAGAAACATCCATGGCTACACTGGGGAGCTTACATCCTGCAGCGGCACCAACAGTTAAGAGCTCGGGACGGGTTCTGACTTCGGATGCACCGCTCACCTTATGCGGGGCACCTCAGGGCTAGGTTAATACAGCTCACGGGGCAGGGTGGTCCGATGCACCTCTCCGCTCGCATTGCGATGTCTGAGCTGTACACACCTAGGCGACGAGGCTCTCAGCGCGGTGTCTGTGCCCGCTGGGAGAGCAGGTCCCCGCCCACGCGCCCCACAGAGCGGGCAGCGCCCGCCCAGCAGGGAGGCAGGATGCTCCCGGCCGCGGCTTGGCGCCTGCCTCTTCACGGGAAACACGTTAGGAAAGGAAAAGTCCCAGCAGCAGGGAAGAGCGCCGGGCCAGGGAGGGAGGGAGGAGGGGAGCAGGCTGTTTGGAGCCCTAGCTGCGAGTGGCAGGCAGCGCCCCCGCCCCGCCACTCCTGCTAAGGACCGCAACTGACAGCCGCCGCTCCAGCGTGGTGAGGGGCGGGGATGCGCTGGGAACTACAACTCCCAGCAGGCAGCGCGGCTCTCCGCCGCCCGGGGTTGGGAGGAAGCGGAGCGCGCGCTGGCCGGCGCTCACGCGGAGGTGCTGCCTGCTGGGGTGTGTGGGCCGCTTGGGAGCCGAGGCGCGCGCGGGCTTGCAGTTAAGGGAGCTGCTGCGTCCGGCGGCGGGGTGGGCCCTGGCGGCGCTACCGTGCCTTGGTGAGCGATGGCTTAAGGGGCCGTGATCTCTCTCTGAGCCTTGGCTGCTGCAAAGTCCCCTGTAGTTGTAGCACAGCGGCCACCGGTCTCCGCGTATCTGCTGCTGAGCTGTGGACAGGGCCTGACGATCAGCAGCCAAGTGCATCCGTAGCATTATGGTGAGAGGGTCCGGCATTATGAACTCTGGGGCAGTTTCTTAGCAACCTGCCCTGGTCACTAGTTTGGGGTCTGTCTAACTGGCAGCGAGAGGCTCATGCTTTCCTTTCCCACTGCTGCCCCTGTCCTCTTCCTTCCCTCCCTCTTCTTATCCTCCCAGTAAGCGTGTTAGGTGTTTTGATAGAACTGGAATGGAACTATTGGTGCCTTGTTATTTTGTGTCACATCATATTGTTTCCTCTGTTCCCTCTAGGCTAATACGTTCTTGCAGGTAAGAGAATGTAAATTACAAACTCCACTATAGCTGTTTAATACTGCAGTGCACTGGTTAATCTGTACCTCTGTTCTGTTAGGTTTCAGAGTAGCAGCCGTGTTAGTCTGTATTCGCAAAAAGAAAAGGAGTACTTGTGGCACCTTAGAGACTAACCAATTTATTTGAGCATAAGCTTATGCTCAAATAAATTGGTTAGTCTCGAAGGTGCTACAAGTACTCCTTTTCTTTCTGTTCTGTTAGTATCAAAGCTGCTCACCTTTGTGACCCAGGCCTCTACTGCTAAAAGCTCATAGAGAAATTTTTCCTTTAGCTCAACTGGCCAGACCCTGTATTTTTTCAAGAAGAGTCGCTATCCAAGTTAATGACGGTTGCCATAAAGTTCACAATGGCTGTGGTCATACTGAGAAACATGAAGCCACTAGGTAGCTGTCAACTTGTTATAACTTCGCTGTTGTAGGATGCATTGATACTATAAAATTTGGTATCTGTATTGTAGCAAGGATGCAACTGCACTGATGCTGTTGCTAGTAGAGATAGAGCTCGGTCTTCTATACCACCATGTTATGAAAACACGACTGAGTGAGTTTTCATAACATGGTAGTAGAAATGCCCAATCCTTGTCTGTAGTAGAGCTTACAGCATTGGTATCACTGGAATACAGGTACCAGTTACTATTTTTCTTGTGTAGAAAAGGCCATATTTTACACAGTTCTTGAAAGATGCAGATATGAATAGACACTTAGTTCAAATTTTAGCTCAAAGAATGTGTTTTCTCCTGTTCACTTGCAACTTTCTATTTTTGTTGTTTATCTTCAATTATTACCACTTAACAATGTGAAGTGTTCATTTTTGTTTTGGGATACAGATTGGATGGGGGGAAAAGCTATTCAAAATGTTATAGAACTGTATGGTTATGCAGTGAAGAAAATCAAGTCAATGATGAAGCATATTTTGGTTTATTTTTGTCCAGATAATGGAGTCTCTCAGCTCCGCTAAGGCTCATAAGTGTGAATCAGCAATGCAGGATGAAAGTGAAGATGACATTGAGTTTATCTGTGTAAGTAGGTGTTGGCTTAATAACTGTAAATACTTTTGCCAGTTAAATACATAAAATGTTCTAAGATTTGAATATGCAATGTTGTTTATCTTTACTGTGTGTTAAATAAAATATTGGTGTTACATTAAAAACTCAGCTTTTCAAAGCAGAAGAAAATACTAGTTTAGTTTTCGCTTTCAAAAAGCAGTTTAATTCTCAACCTGAGCTGACATGCCTGTGTCAAGAGAATCTGTATTAAAAAGGGGGTTGGATTTGAGGCCCCAGTCCTACAATGACATGGGTCTGGGTGGGCAAGGGTGGCTTCAGTGGGCTCTGCTGAGACAGTGAGCCTTAGCACACCTCATTACAGGTTGGGGCCCTAATGAATTACCCATCTCAACTAGAGCTGAATAGGAGAGTCGGGGAACAAAGCTAGTTTTTGTCAGACGTGCATATGGATAGACTGTGGTTCATATTCTGATACCCTTAATGCAGTAGAATGGCATATTACTCCAAGAGTAATCCACTGAAGTCAATGAGACTACTTGTGAAGTAAGGTGTGCAGCTCATTGTGTAATGGCACCAGAATCTCACCCTGTGTTACCTGACAGAGATAAGGGAGACAAATAGGGGTAGAAGCCTATTAGCAGTTTAGTTAGGATGTGGAGTACTGTTTAACACACACAGTGCAGAATGGATTATAGAATGCTGTCATGTGGCTTCTGACTCTGAATCCTTCCTGTGACATCAGATTTTGCACAGGGGCCCAACAGTGCCACAATAACTGGTTTTCTGTATATAAAAGCCAGGGACTGCGTTAGGGGTAGCAAGCAGGGCAGTTGGCTGGGGCACCATGCTATGGGGGCCCTGCAAAGCTACATTGCTCAAGCTTTGGCTTCAGCCCCATGCAGTGGGGCAGTGGCTTTCTGCCCTGAACCCAAGTGAGTCTAATTCTGGCCCTGTTTGGCAGACCCCCTGAAACCTGTTTGCGGCCCACGGTGGGCCTCAGACTCCTTGTTGAGAACCACTGATGTAGTTTGTGTGTGCATATTACTTAAGGCTGTCAGAGCCTGACTACAACTTTTAGAAACATGCATTGCTAAACTTATGAGGAAAGTGGGACATGTATAATACTACGTGGCAGTGGGCCTCAATCCTTTGTCAAAGAAGCAATGCTTTGATGGAAGGAAATATGGAAGAATGGAGGGACAACTTTTCTTTACAGGACAACAGCTTATGACCAGTCTTGCACACACACAATAAGGAAATAGAGTACAGATTTGGGTGTGAGGAAACTGTAAGTAAAACAGTAATACACAACATTATAAAGTGGATAGTGTAGATCAGCAGTTCTCAAACTGTGGGTCAGGACCCCATTTTAATGGGGTTGCCAAGGCTGGCTTAGACTTGCCGGGGCCAAAGCCTAAGCCCGAGCCCTACTGCCTGGGGCCAAAGCCGAAGCCCGAGGACTCCAGCCCTGGGCGGTGAGGCTCAGATTACAGGCTCCCTGGGGCTGCAGCCCGTGGGCTTTGGCCCCTTCCCCCCACCGCCTGGGCAGTTGGACTTGGGCTTTGGCCCCCACCTGGGGCAGCAGGGCTCAGGCAAGCACGGGTTTTGATCACCCCTCCTGGGGTTGTAAGTTTTGTTGTCAGAAGGGGGTCACAGTGCAATGAAGTTTGAGAACCCTGGTGTAGATTTTAATGAGTCTCCTCTTCAGTGACTCTTGACCTCAGTTGTTTGCGGATGTGGTCTCTGTGTACACCTAGTAATGATGTTTGGTACTGAAGGAAGCTGTAACTTGGAACAGATAGGCAGGGTCTGAGGTACCACACTGGGTGTCTTCTGTAAAGAGTGAATGTTATTTTTTGCCTGTGCTGTTACCCACCCACCCCTGGATGGCACCGGTACATACTTTGGAGCCCAGTCCGGGAGCCAGGCTTTTCTCTCTGTCAGGCTGGGGAGGTACCTGGCAACATCTTTCTTCCTGTCTTTCTCCCAGAGAGGGCAAGCGATACTACTAGCTGTGAGAAGAGCATTTACTTTCCCTTTGTACACTAGTGGTGGATCAAAGACTTTAACCTGGGCCCATTCTCCAGCAATGGGCCCAGGTTTCACATACCTAATCTGCATTTGTGTTTAGTGGAAGTGCTCACCCCCTCCTGTTTGAGCTTACACAAGCTGATCCATGAATGGGGTGGGGACGAGGACTGTTTTTGTTTTGTTTTTCTAAAATAGGTTATCAGCTTGGTAAGCAGGTGTTGACCTGTCTGCAGGTGCTTCTTTCTCTTGCTCCAGTCATCATGAGTAGGTGCTCAGGCAAACCTTGCTCTCTATCAGGAAGTGACGGACAGCTTCACAAACTCCAAACTTGATCTAAAAACTAAATAGTCAGTGGACAACAAGTAAAAACAAAACCAAACAGATTTGGGGTTAATTTTAAAAGGACTATAGAATATGAAAAATAGGGGTGGTGACAGCAGCCCTTTTAAAATATAGGATGTTATCCTATATTTTCATTGGCCTTGACTTAGATTGGCTGCTCATCAGAGACTTAATTTACAATGTGTAAATGTGGGGTTGTCACCTGCTGAATAAATGTAAAGTACTTTAAAAGTTTTAAGCACAGTTTCTGAAATCATACTGTATGCATTTGTGTGGAAACTCTTCCTAATGCCTAGAGCACTGAACTAATACAAAATCATGTGTACATCAGGGTGGATTGATTGATTTGATTTAAATCAAAGCAATTTAAATCACCAAATTAAATTATAATTTAAACCAGCAAGTAGGGAACCTTGATTTAAATAATTGATTTTGAATCTTGTTTTTCCTGCATACTTTTTTTCTCTGAAGTTTCAAAGAAAGTCAAACCATTGAACTGGTGGAAGTCACTGGCTGAGCTCCTGCAACCAGAGTTTGTTGAAGTTCAAAACAAGCCTTTAGCAGCAGTAGTCTCATCTGCATGTGCAGAGAGACGTTTTCTTCATTTCAGTTCGTTCAGTTCAATGACTAATTCATTCAAAGTTAAGAAAACAATTGGGAATTGAAGAAGTAGGAATGCTTGTTTTACTTTTCCAAGCTATGAATGAAAAAGAGTGTGAGAGGATGAGATCCACTAGTTTTAAAAATTTGAAGGACCCAAAACAATCAGTTCAATTAACTACAGATAATACATCCTTTGCTTAATAAATAGTTGTCTTGAGCAAAACAGATTTTGCATTTAAACTTTTAACTATTAATTTATATTATTATTTAAATATTTAAACATTTCGTACTAATTTTTATTTAAATAATTGTGACAAAGTTCCTCCTCTACCTTGGTGGGTCTTGCGCTTATTGGCGGATTTGCTCGCCTTGGAGCTTCACGGCAACCCTCAGCTTGGCCGTTTTTCTGAACCCACAGTCCAGGTCAACTCCTCGTGTGTCTGACCAGGAGTTCAGAGGATTTGGGGGGAACTCGGGCCCGCCCTCTGCTCCGGGTTCCAGCCCAGGGCCCTGTGGAATGCAGCTGTCTAGAGTGCCTCCTGGAACAGCTGTGCAACAGCTACAACTCCCCAGGCTACTTCCCCATGGCCTCCTCCCAGCACCTTCTTTATCCTTACCATAGGACCTTCCTCCTGGTGTCTGATAATGCTTGCACACCTCGGTCATCCAACAGTCCACATTCTCAGCTCCTAGTGCCTCTTGCTTCCAGCTCCTCTCTCACACATACCACAAACTGGAGTGAGCTCCTTTTTAAAACCCAAGTTCCCTGATTAGCCTTCCTTAATTGATTCTAGCAGCTTCTTGATTGGCTGCAGGTGTTCTAATCAGCCTGTCTTAATTGTCTCCAGAAGGTTCCTGATTGTTCTGGAAGCTTTCCTGTTGGGAAACGGAACGTCTTTTGCTTGCTCCTCAGCTATCTGCTTTCTATTCTTTCCTAAAGCCCCCTGGCCCAGATTTTTCTTACTTTTTGCACCTGCCTTAGTCCCCCCCCCGACCGGGCCAGACGCTTTTTTGTTTTTTCTTGATTCTTTGTTTTTTTTTTCCCGTCTACGTCCTTCGCCAGCACCCCCCCCCCACGCCTGCTTTCGGGCCAGCTACTTGCCTCAGCTGAGCCCCCGGAGGAGGGGGGGGAAGATTGCCGATTTGCTGTCCGGAGGGGGGAGTGGAGACCCCCAGACTCAGCCGTTTTGCCAGCAGCTCGGACTTTACAACATTCTTAACATGCCGGAAGCCTTGGAACACAGCCAACACAGCCGGAGAAGAAGATTTCAGCAGACAGAAGAAATAATTCAGGAGAGCTATAAATCATCGTGAGGGGGCCGTAAGACTGAGTATTTTCTGAATTATACTCTCGTGGGGGGGAGTTTGACTGTGATTACTTGCGTTTGTAGCGGCACAGGGGGTGTGGCGTGGAGACCCCCACCCCCGATCCATCGGTGCCCCTACCCCCCCCATCGTTATTACAACTGTCACGGCCCCCCCGCCGTCTGTCCCTGCTGGCAACCTGCCATCTCCCTTCGGATCCAGCTGTTCGCTTTGAACTTTGCCTTCCGGAGCGGACATAACAGCCGACCAACCGAGACTCTTTGGACAAACGTGTGTGGGTCTGCACCCCCCCCCGGATTGCTTATCCCACAACTTGCCCCTATTACTGGACCCCGATTTTGTTCCCCCCCTTCTCCTAGTCCCCCCCCCTCGGCTTTCCGCCCCTTCCTGCCCGCAGCCTAGCGGAAGGAGGGGCTACTCCGCTTTTTCCCCTCCCCCCTCCTCCTTCCGGTGTCTCCCTGTCTCTCCCTGCTCACAATGGCGGGGAACGAGAGGGGCGAGACTGCTTCAACAAAATTAGTTGTCCCTCCCCCACCACCACCCCTGCCCGACCCCCAGGGTCCCCCCCCTGCCACTATTGTCAAGATACTTGCCACCCCCCCTGCTGGGGCACCGGTAGCAGGAGGCACCAGGGTGATTGCTGCTGCTGCTGCACCCACCGCCCACCCAGATTCTAGGAAACCCCCCCCGGTTCGCCGGAAGGGCCAGGG